GGTTAATTTCAATACTGCAAACCCAGGAATGACCTAAAATGCGTCTTTTCCTTCGCGCGCAGGCACAGCAGGAAGCGCTACAACCGCTGTCCCTCAGGTCGGCTCTGGTCCAGACATCACGACCCTGTTGTGCACCCAGCCAAAGCACAGTTACTGGCGTAAGCAGGAAGAAAAAGAGATGGATCTGGGGCTAGAAAAAACGCTATTAGCGTTTTTTTTATGGGCCTACGGGGGAGGGGTAGTGGGGCGACCAAGGGGCGAAGGGTTCTAATAAACCGATTGGAGGAGGCTGGGGTTTTCCGCTGGCTGGGGACCAATTCACCGCGCAGGGTTTGGTGGTTGGCTTATAGGGGGAAGGACGCGACACGACCCAGGTTTGAGGACAGAGGAGAAGATAACTTGTGCGAGCCGGCCGGGAGCGGGGCTGAGGAACACGTTGGGACTGAGAGATACCAACCCGGCCGTTGGCGCGACGACAGCACAGGAGGGGGGTGGGAGTAGTACAGTTACGCCGGACGAACAACAAGAAGAAGAGCTTCCGGAGAACACGAAACGGAGGTATTTTCTACGTTCAATTTTATTATGGTGCCTCTGTGGGGTTACCAGTGGGCGGTCGTCGTGCACTGACGACTACAAGGCACTGCTGTGTAGGCGACATGCACATTACCATGAAATCGTCACGTGCCTTGATATTCAGCTGTTGACAACTCCTTTGCGACTACCATTGTATTGTCGAGCATGATGCTGAGGGTGTTGGCTCATGCCACCTGAGTATCCGTCATGCGTCGCCGCGACGCTGTCTATGTCCGTTGCTCATGTTGGCGCGGTCATTTATTCTCTTGTTTCTGCTTCACGCAGGGTGGCGTGGGTTCGGAGCGACGCGATGCACGCGATGGTGTCCACTCCAACATGGGGGTACTTCTTGAACTTGTTCGAGTTGTCAAGACTCCTAGATCTACCAGCGGATGATCTTCGCGCCGTGCTGCAGCCTCCATGTGCCCGAAAGTCTGCGATCGAGCATGAACTGTTCCTCTCGACGTTCGGCATTTCCCGGGGGTGTCATGACGGGAAGCCCGCCTGGCATTTGCTTGGATGTGGGCACGCCGTCGCGCTAGGGGAAGATGCGTGCATGGAACTTCTGAGCAGGCCACCCCAGGCCGTTTTTAGGTGAGTTGGTAGTCCATCAGTGTCGATGGATGCATTTTACAAGTCCAACTCAGCCCTATATAGGGTATTGAACGCTGTGCTTCCACGTACTGCTTATAATGCTGCTGTGTTGGTTATATTAACTCAGCTTACTATCCCATCACATCAGTTCGACCACCCACCCACCACACCCACTCCACACACACTCCTGTATGCCTTTCCTCAATCTATGTTCCTGTGCCCCGCTAGTACCCAACTTGCCACTCGGATGTGCCACTCTTGTTTTTTACCTTGTAAATTTGCCTGCAGGAGTGCGATGAAGCGAAGAGAACCAAACGCCGGTATTCCCTGGACTGTCGGCTGCGAGGCAGAGACACCTCTACTCCTAAATGCACATCGCCTTTCTTTAGATGTAGAGAGGTCCCTGCAATGTAGAAACTGCAAACCTAACTGCCCAATCAATGGGCCACGTCATAGTTGGGAGTTCATGCGGGGCGAGTCCGAGGCGACGGAAATCCTAGGGGTAGACGCCGAGCTCAGAGTCAACTTTGAGTGCGTCAATTGCCACTCGATACACCTTGGGGTGCCTTTCCCTGCGAAGGGGGTGGGTTCTGAAGTCCAATCGTGGTCGATGGCGGATGAGGTTGTGCGTGGGACTTTTGATAGTATCTCCAGTTGGCTTCGGGTACGTGCAGTATCCCCCAGAAAGGCAAACAGCATAGCGTCTCGTAGTAGAGATGCTTCGCCACATGAAGCCGCTGCGGAGGGGGAGGCCGCCGCTCGTTCAGTGGCTCCGAGCAGCGTGGAGGAGGAAGAATCCGTCGGATCCAGGGACGTGGACGAGGCGACGGTGGGGCGTGAGGGGGGGATGCAAGGGGCACCCACATCCAGAGAAGGGGACGGGGGCACAGAAGCAGACAATGGGGCGGCTATTAGTCGTGCTTCGGCGACGTTGCTGAAAGGCAAGAATCCGGCGACACCGCGACTGTGAGTAATGATTGGGTTGAACAACGTCAAGCGCATTGCAGAGCAGTCTTTGAATAGTACTTGACGAAACGATTATATCGGACGATATATATCGTGTACATCGTTCCGATTCACAACTCTACTTACCATAGAGGCTACATTTCGGACTTGCCACTTAGCAGGCAGCATGTACACCAGATTAGTGTTTGGTGCCCACGGCGAGCCTATGCTGGGTGGAGGAATCGCCCGCTATGATGTTTGCAATGACGTTCAATATCGAGTTGAGACCAAAATGTCGATATTTGGTCTAAAAAAAGGGTCCGCGGGATGGCAAAGGCCAGATACTCCATACTCCACGAACGGCGAGTGCAGGCTGCCGATCAATGCGAGTTTTTGCCACAGCACAGACTATAACTGCTGTATGTCGTACAGATTGCGAAAGAATGGGCGAGATGGGTTCAAAACAGCAGTAGCCTACTCAGTTTTTGTGAGCAGCAGTGGTTTTTTTGGAGACAGCCGCAAACCCCCCCCCTCCCAAAGTACCCTGCCTTCAGGTAGGGAGGGCTTGGTGGGGGTCTAACCTTGTCGAAAGTGCCCCGAGAGTGAAGGATAGCTGAGGTGAAGGCCTTTCATATGAACTACTAACCTGGCGTAGTTGCGGGGTTCAGCGGGCGGTTAATTTCAATACTGCAAACCCAGGAATGACCTAAAATGCGTCTTTTCCTTCGCGCGCAGGCACAGCAGGAAGCGCTACAACCGCTGTCCCTCAGGTCGGCTCTGGTCCAGACATCACGACCCTGTTGTGCACCCAGCCAAAGCACAGTTACTGGCGTAAGCAGGAAGAAAAAGAGATGGATCTGGGGCTAGAAAAAACGCTATTAGCGTTTTTTTTATGGGCCTACGGGGGAGGGGTAGTGGGGCGACCAAGGGGCGAAGGGTTCTAATAAACCGATTGGAGGAGGCTGGGGTTTTCCGCTGGCTGGGGACCAATTCACCGCGCAGGGTTTGGTGGTTGG